TTAGTAAAAATTATTATCAACTGAGGGCGCTTTCAAATTAGACGTTTGTAGAAACGCTACAGTGGCGCGGCAGCCGTGCGTCTGTAACGCCTCCATATTATTGGACGCTGATGAGTAATAACGTGTCAGCCAACATGATCATAGCTTTGCGAAAATGGCATCTAAAGATTTTTTTCTAAAAACTTTTGCTGTTGCAACAATAATAATTGTTGGGGAATTATAGTAATAAATTTAAGCTATCTTACACTGTTTCATTTCTTTGCTTGCACCAAGACGTGTCTGAATGAGCTCTGACATTAGAACAGTTGGGTTACCGTTATAATGGTTTTTCAAAATCTATTATGACAGATACTCTATCTCGAAAAATTTATATTTGGGCCCTTATATGTATTTTGTACATTGACTTACAATCATATGGACGTCGGGTCCGCGCTAAAAAGTGTCCGCACTTTTAAGGCGCTAAAATCGTATACAGAGCGCGACACTCCGCTTTAGTCTTCATTTGTTCTACGGACAGCGCGATACTGCAATGACATAACAATTTAAATTTCGAATAGGTTGACTTGGGACATTTTTTTCGTGGTTTTTGTATTAGACCCGTCGTCCATTTATTTGTAAGTCAATGATTTTGTATGAAAATTTACGAGTTTACAATAACTTATGATCGATTTTCGTTTGTATGGAGTGCTTTCGCCCAATTCATGTTGCAATTATGTTGGACCTCTAACGCTCTGACAAAATGGCGATTTTCAATCATACAGTGGCCGAGAGGAACGTTGGGCCCATATTATATCAATGGGTACGGGTACATGTCAATGTTTAGATGATTTATATTAACATAGTTTGTAAGTATTTTGTTACTAACACTATAATGGAAATTTTGTCCGAAATAAAGACTTCAATTGTATTGAATTTTCGGTAGGTGTAGCATTGGATTTATACAGCAAAAGTTCTCATTTTACAAGTAAACTTTAGAATTATCTATGGAAAACAACGAAAAAATATTCAGGTGACATTTTCGCAAAACTATGATCATGTTGATTGATACGTTGTTGCTTTTCAGCATCCAATTTTGAGTTCACTACTTATAACTGCAAAAGTGGTACGCGCGTGTGACGACAGTGGCGCTACAGCTTCTATAAGCGTCTAACAGGAAGTCGCCCGCCCATTATCTACCGGAGGATTTTGTGTTTAATCAACCAATAGCTTTTCTTTTTTTTTCTTTTTTTTTGATAAAGTCCTCTGTTTACGAGTCCGTTTCTTATCGATGTAGTCTCTTCCATTCTTTACGGTTTATAGCATTGACCTCTTTATAGCTGCTCACTTTGATATTCTCCTTTATTTAATCACTGTACGCCATCTTGGACGTCTTCTTTCTTTTTTTCTTATTCTAGAAAGACTATTGGTTAGTGAAACATGGCTAGATAACAAGCCTTAGAATTTTTTATTATCTATTTTACTTATTCTTGAATTGTACAGCTAACGGTACAGTATACGCTACGTACGTTTTCTGTTTAACACGCATCTGCTAATTTTAACTACAATGTAACTATCGAGTTCCTAGGTTTTCGCGATCGGTACACATAGGAAATGAAACTATTTTTCGGGGTTCAAATCGCGTATATGTTTTTTTTTTTCAAACAAACCAACGTTTACCAGTATTTCCTCTGATGAAAAATCCCAAACAGACATAAGACTGCAGTACTAATTAATATGTTTTAATTTATTCTAATTTCAATTATTAATTAATAATAAATTTAACTTAATAAAATTTCATATTGTTACAATAAAAAAAATTTGTAAAACAATGTAGCGTAAATTGGAATGTTTCTTTGTAAAATTAAAATAAGATAAGGTATTTAATTAATAACTTTTGTAACTATAGTGAAAAATAGGGTATTAGTAAAAATAACTTTTGTAACTATATTGAAAAATAGGGTGTTTGTTGTTTGAAAAAAACAAATATACGCAATTTAAATCAGGAAAAATAGTTTCATTTCCTACAATGTAACTGTTCACACTTGTCTGCGACTTAGGCAAAATATAGTAGTCATTAATTTAAAAATAATGAGAAACTATTTTAATATAGTTGTATATTTTTAATAAAAACTTAAAATAGTTTTATTTCTGTGTTTCTGCTGCACTCTGTCACGGCACCGTCAACTCTGAAGTGGGGTAAGTGCCCATAAGGTCAACCGCAAACTGGCGGACGGCGGTGGAACAATGAACAGGATCTTATGCCCGCTAGCGTACACTGATAAGGAATATTATCCCGATTACGATATCGCGAGCGTCTGCCGGCGTACCACAGCGTCCGCTCCCTCCCATTTTCCGCTACCCCGACGCATAGCCGGAGTTCCGTCTCGTCGCAGAGAAAAATGCGCTGTGATCCTCCGAAATCGGTCTCAGATCATTGAATTTTATACCTTATTACAATTATAATAGCATAAAATAAACATTAATAACTTTAAGATATATCACCTTCCCGTCCGCCGGTTTACGCTGGCCCTAAACCAGTACCATGTTAGGCGACGAAGGAACATTTTGTTTTTTTATTAAATCGCCATCTACCTTACGAGTCGGTACTACCTCAGTTCGAATTCAGATTTTTCCCGTACTAACACGGTTCATTTTGCTTGGGTCGAGCGGCAGGAACACTGGTTTTTTTACAAACGAAGTTAACGCCATTTGAAAATTGCATATCGTATAGTGTATGTGTTCTATATAGTTCAGTTAACATAAAAAAAATTGGTATATGTAAAGTAGCTATTGAAAACAGCGGTTTCGTTGTAAAATTTCGAGGTAAGTTTGTTTTTTCTTACACGAAAATTTTTAGAAATCGTGTTTTCACACCGTATAGTAATCAGTGCGTATCCTCAATTTTGCTATATATTTTTTTCAAAGTGATTAATTCAACACTTTCACTGTTATGAGGGATCAACCAAAGCCATTTGAAGTTGTAACGACTCTTAAACCTTTAAGACTATTACCACAACGCCCCTGAAAGTCCCTCTTTTTTGCAAGCCATTCAAAACCATTCTTCTATTAAGCGTTCTTCTGTTCTATATGCGTACTAGGGCTTTCACACCGAGAATCTCTGTCGCGAAAATTTCGCCTGACTCGACGATTTTTTGACTATTTTGAGACTCGAGATTAATGATGTCGAATATCGAAAATTTTGACAGTAAGTCTACTAAACCAATCTTTTTGTATTTTGGTTACATAATTACGGCAACCCTGTAGAATGGAGCTTAGTATAATCTGTGGAGTTTGAAAATCGATAGTAATAAAACCAGCTTCTCACTATTTGAAATTACATTATAAAATAAAATAAAAATACAGTTATTTATCCACAAAACACATAAACCATAATACGTCAAGTGTCTAGGGATGAAGCACGTTTTTGTCAATTACTGAAAATCAGGACCGCCATGGACGCTTTGAAGCGTCTTATACTAACTTCACTGATACGCCAATGACGCCTTAAAGCATCAATGAAACACTTTAATTTTCAATTGAAATTAATAAATAAATATTAATTTATATTTATGTATTTGTATATTCTAGTTAAGTATGATTCATAGTTGCAATTTATGTTCAGTTATGTTTCTCTTTGACTTAGGAGAATGGAATTAATAAAGGGTGGAAATGTATAACACGTCACATCACTATATAGTTATGGCGTCTAGCGAACGAAACTAGTTTTCATCAGTGGCGATCAAAAAGTTATCTTTTTATAATTTGAATTTGAAAATAAAATTTACCAAAAAAAATCGATCGGTGTTAAAAGAAATCATTAAAAAACCTGATTTTCAGTAATTGGCAGAAACAAGTTTGATCCCTAGAAATTTTTGATGAGTGAATAAGCGAGCAATTAACCAAAAAACAGTAAAGTGGAGAAATAGGATGAAGACTCAGCATTGCTGATTTTCAGTCGTCACCTATAGCTAGTGTGAGTGTGACTAAACACCGAGTAAATTATACAGAGGCTGTCTGTGTTGCACTTGTATGAAAAAGGTATAAAAATTCAAGGGTTCTGTTTCTCACATACCCACTATAAATATAAGTATGAAAACCTATTTTTGAAATAACCAACCAAGTCAACCCAAGAACTCGCAAGAGTGAAAACAACATAACAAGTGTAATTTGTAATTATGCCAAAAACTGTAAACACTGCATTCTTATCATTAAAACGAACAACTTTTGTTCTACGACTTAAAAATATTCTCAGGTACGTGATCTACACCCACGCCCGCATTACAAAATGCTAAGTGCGTAGTCACACGAGCTGCGTTACAGCTGGAACGGAACCGCATAATAGCAGTTAAAACTTAGTCGGAATGCAATTACTGCACAGCAGTTGTAATTGAGTCGGACAACAGTCATGATGCATTAAAACTGCAAAAAAACAATTGCAATTCAGCTTATCATACTTACGATGCATCGGAACTGCAAATTAGCTGTTGCAATTCAGTTTATCAGCACTTACGATGCATCGGAACTGCAAAATAGCTGTTGCAATTCGGTTTATCAGCACTTACGATGCATGAGTACTGCAAAATGCCATTGTAATTCAGTCGGACAGCAGTCATGATGCATTGAAACTGCAAAATTGTTGAAATTCGGCCTGACAGCAATTACAATGCATCAGAACTGCAAAAAAAACCAATTGCAATTCAGCTTATCATACTTACGATGCATCGAAACTGCAAAATAGCTGTTGCAATTCAGCTTATCAGCACTTACGACGCATGAGTACTGCAAAATGCCACTGTAATTCAGTCGGACAGCAGTTACGACGCATGGGAACTACAAAATAGCTGTTGGAATTCCGCCGAACAGCAGTTATGATTTTTTTTTTGTGACACAAAGTGACGGGATGAACAAGTCGTGCGTCTGATTGCAAGCGACACGCCTGTCCATAACAGTTGTAGTGTCACTGCGCCCGTCATCCTGAGACATAAGTTGAAAAGTCCCATGTGCCTGTAATTTCGCCAAAATTGCAAATTAACAGTTAAAATCCAGCTTATCAGCGCTTACGATACATCGGTACTGCAAAATAGCAGGTGCAATGCAGCCGGATGACAATTGAATGCAGATGATATCGCGACTGTCAAATATCAGTGTTAGCAGTGTCCGCTTACATTTGCGATTCAGCAGGAATACAACCCGTATGACTACAACCTAAGAGAATAAAAACAAAAAGTCAATACGCTTGCGTTTATTGGACTTCAAATTATCTTTCTGTCTCAAAAACAGATAAAACATTTACAGTACAGACAGCGACACGTTAAGTACAAAATTAGCAACACCCTGATAGGCGTTTCCTAATCTCAATTACTCCCTAATTTAATACAATATCGTTACTTTGATCCGCCACTAAACAGCAGATGGAAATGTGGCTCATATATATATATATTGCCTTATTGAATTAATTTGTAATAACAGGTAAGACTATTTCTTACAGTCCTGCATGAAATTGTAGATGTTCAAAAACATCGATAAACGTCCATAAATAAATGTAGGTACATTGTATATAATACAGAAATGTGAAATCACTTCTACAATCGATTCCAGCTTAGATACCATGTCATTTCAGCGAAGTCGTCAGAGGTATCGAATACGTAGTTGTTTCGGGCGTACCTAGTCTGTCTGACTGAACACACCGGTTTATGCATTGATGTCGTTGACGAACAGCACGTCGCGGTCTTTGAGGCCGACTTCGAATAGATTAACGGTACCTCGCGGCACGATTCGTTTAGGAAAATTGGTTGTCATCTCGAACTCTTCTGGCGACTCCGGGTGACTAAACACGTAGTCGTAGAGTTCCTGAAAATTTTAAATCTGGTTTTAGTAATTTTTTAATAATGTTAAGTAACGGGACGAACAAGTCGTCAGCCCGGTGGTAAGCGACACGCCTGTCCATAACAGTTGCAATGCCACTCAGAATTTCAAAAGTAAAGATCGGAGGGGCACTGCCTCTGCGCCCATCACCCTGAGACATAAGTTAACAAGTCACATGTGTCTGTAATTTCACCAGCACCCCTTCAAAACCGGAACGCAGTATGTGAGCATTACTACTACGACGAACAATTTCACAAGAAGCTCTCTCTACTGCTAGTAAAATTGTGTTTATTATTTTGTTTTGTTATTATTATTGAATATTGATAGAATAGAATAGAATAGAATATGGTTATTTGCCAGAATACAGTAATTACAAAGGTCTTAAGTAAAATTAGGTACATTGTATTCAACCTGCAAGCAGATGTGCAAATATTAATGGGTTTCAATGTTTCTTTAGTCTCTATAGTTTCTAATTAATGTAATGAATTTGTAAATTCTAAGTATTCTTTATTACTATAGAAGCAATGTGTCAAAAGCCATTTTGTCAATTTTAATTTAAAAGTATGTCCTTGTAACAATTTAATGATTGTAACGAATATGTTTTACTACGATGATATTTAATTATTTTTTGGGAATTACTCCACTAGTTTGTTTTAATTATTCATACAAATATCTAAAACAAAGAAAAATTCCTTCGATCGGGTGGGTCTCGGACCTGTGTCTGTTTTGCCAAACTAACTGTAACTATAGTTATTATTATTGATACAAATATCGAACAACACAAAGGAAAATTCCTTCGAACTAGTCTTTTGCAACACCGGGGTTACCCCTCTTTCCAACTGACTGAGCTACACCTCGAGTCAGCAGATCTTACAAATTTCTCCATGTACTTGTTGCAGGTCTTTTGTGTTGGGTTTAAACAGCTTTTTTGTCATCAGGGTTTTAGTGTTTTTGGGGACGACGAAGTATGCTGTTTTACTTATTTACTTATTCGTGGAAAACCAACAGCTTCTTACATTTCATAAAAACAGGACAATAAACATAAAGCCAATTACCGGTTTCACACAAATTGAACACGAGCATTTTAAATGAACAATAAACAGTATTTCTTAACAACATGAACTTACATTAATATAACAGCCCAATAATAGGTATTGGGCTAATCACAAATTATTCAATAAAACTAAATAGAATATCCGTAAGTTTACGGTTTAGCGCATTAAACATTACAATTAAATTTTTATAACAGCTTTGGAATATTTTGGAGATTATATAGATATAGATACTGAGTACAATTGCAAGGGGGCGCTACAGTTGGATTTCGCGCCGTAAACATACATATACATATACTCACGCCTTTGGGTTCCCATATAGGGGTAGGCAGAGCTTTAAGTGACACAGTACAACTAAAGCCACATTTGGCATATGTTTGGGTTAAGATTGTATACAATTCAATCTTGTGTAACTTAGTGCACCATACTGACAGGTTGCCAGCCTGTCGCCTACTTATAGAACAATATTAAACCTAGTCCCTCAGTCGATTTTTACAACTTGCACGGGATAATAAGTATCTGATAACTTCTATGTTTTTCTTTTGGTTCCAGATCAGCATGGAACTGTATTTAATTCTATACGCGCCGTAGAGATTTACAAAATATTCAAAATTTATGTTTAATAAAACTACCTCTGTGGCCGAACGGTTACCATGCTGGAAAGCCATGTAGATGTCCAGGGTTCGATTCCTGGATCGGGAAAAATATTTGTATGGTCCACATTTTATTTCTCTCGTGAGTTTGGGTGTAATTTGTGGTTGTCTACGTGTGTCCACAGCACTCGCGATACAGGATTTCCCTAGTGCGAGGCTATGAGTGTACGCGTTATTTATTTATTATGATTATTTTGAAAGCAAATTTTAATAGCAGTTATTACGTGTTTGTTGTTTAATATTTATTTATTTTTGTTGCATTGTTCATTGAGTTGTTGTGGTACACATCCTAGTTACAGTAAAACTATTTATTAATATATCTCTCGGCAATCTTTGTATTTCAGTTGTCGTCGGTTTTCTAACAGTTGCCCCTTGCACTTGGTGCAAACCGGACGAACTTCAATCGACTTAGAAGTATACAGAGTGTAATCGTTAAGTGTGCCCAGGCGATTATTCCGTAAATATAAGAGATATCAACTAATAATACTTTACATTTTTCTATAAAATTATAATTGTTATAAAATTCTGTGGCATTTTGTGGAAAATGTCACTTATCATCGTCATAGAGTGAATAACTCGTATGTGATTTTTATGTATTTTTTCAGGACGACGATGAAAATGTGGTGTAAAATGTAGTAATCGCATTTTTTTTGTAGTTAGCCTCTTTCAGATACTATAATTACTTTAATAATAAATTTGACCAAGAAGAACTATGCGAACACGCGTATCCGAGGTTTTCACTCTAAGGCGACGTTACATGGTTTTACATTTAAGGAGACGATTGTAGCGAATCGCAGCAGTCGCTACAAATCTCTTTTGTATATGTACACTTCCGGACACACAATTCGAGCCACCACGCATTTTCAGTATTAAGTGCCCTAAGCTTAAATAATGTTTTATTGATCAAAAACTATTATGCAATTTAGAAACTAGTATACTAAACGTCTTTTCCATAAGTCCTTGTAGAATTTGGATTTGCAAAACCTGGGGGAAAACTTTTTCTTCGATGATAACACTATTTTTGTATTCTAGCCCTTTACGACAATTATGCGAGGTGGCTCGGATTATATGTCCGGGAGTATGTTATTATAGTATTTAAGTTTGTTTTATATTTAAAATCTAAATTTAAATGTGATTATTTTGGCGCCTTTTCTTTACTATTGTTTTTCTGTTTAGCTTTGATAGCTGTAAGACACACATATGACACGTACGTATTTATAATAAAAATTAATAAACTGTAAGTGTATTTGCTTGGCCTTGCTCACTTTATTTATTTATTTATTTATTTATTTATTTATAAACACTTGGAAGCTTACAGTATTAACACCAAAGCTCTTACAAGTTAAATTGAACACTTGTTGTTAGCACCCACCCGAACTCATTGATATAGTCGCTACAACGATATTCAATTGTTTTTAGGACAAGTATAGTACAGTTTCGTTGTGAGACATACCTGCGTAGTCTGTTTGATGTTGAATCGGCGCTGCAGGCGCTCGCCGTCGGGCAGGCGGATGAGCAGCATAACAGTGTCGAAGCCCGTGGACGGCTCGGGCGACAGCCGCGCCGCAATCGCCTTGCGCGCGCTCACCACCTACAGCCATCCACTTTGTTACTCATTCATACTATGACACCCAACATGTCTGCCGTCTACTAACTAGAACGCGGCTAAGTTATAAATGATCAAATATCGGTTTTAAATAGCAAAAGATAGAGCAAAAATTCTCTTTTAAAAACAGTTAAAATTAGTTAACGCGTTCGACCGGAACTTATCCTAACGATGCATAGCTGAAATATCATTAAACTATTTCAATATTCTAAAACTGGGTTTTGGCTTTTTTATATCTCAGAAAAATATTTTGTCAATTTGTTGAGTTTGTGTTAGCAAACGGCAGATGTGTAATTTAAGGTTTTTGCTTTGTGGTCATTTCATCACCTATTACTAAGATTTTTTTTTGTCATTCCATTTTATTTTTGTTTTAATTCACCTTTACCTTTTTTTTTAAATTTTACTGTGTATTTTTGTGTTGTGGCGTTTTGTAATAAATGAGTTATATTCGATTCTTCGGTTTCATTCGAATTACATTTAGAGTCCAGTATAAGACGATTTTTATTCTCATTCCTTCACTGTTCATGTGGTAAGTCTTTGGAACGCACTTCCCACTACTGTTCACGAAAGTAAATGCTTATTATATATTATAATAGCTATTTTCAAGCTATTATTCTAAGGAGCACTATTTTTTAACAACTGTTCCATCGATTTTATAGGTAATATATTATGAAATATGTGTTTATACAATTTGTAATAATTTAATGTTATTGATATGAATATGATATGAATGAATATGAATATGATATAATTTTTTTATTACATAATTTTTGTTTTCTCGTGCATGTAAACCGGTATTGTAATTATTGTGTCCTGTATGAAGGACTGAAAGAAGAAATTTATTTTAGAAATAACAGTGCCTTTTACTGTGCAATTTTTTTTCAATTGCAAAAATTATTAAATAAAAAAATAACACAAATTTAGTAACACGAAATTACTAATTAAATGGCGTGACTATGCTTAGGGCAGCGCATTTATAGTCGTTAACATATGTGTTATTTATTTCCAGTTCATAGTAATCTACAACTAACTTAAAAAGATCACCAAACTAGTAGGTATAGATATTTTTCAAAACGCGAAGAGCGATTGTAATCATAAATGTCATATAGGCAGTGTATGTCCGTAACATAAAGAAAGTAAAGTACATCAAGCTTGCGGCGCTCCTCCTGCTGCTGTTTCAGCAACAATTCCTTCTCCTGCTGCTGTCTTGCGGCGCGGTCTGCGGCGCGGCGTCTCTCCTTCTCCTGGTCGGCGGCCAACGACTCCGCGTACGCCTCATCCTGGGAGGCACGCAGCCGCGCTGTCACTTCGCGCTCCACTCTGCAAACACCACAAACTTGCTTACGAAAAGTCCCCAAACTTTGGACCAGTGTAAACACTTTGCTGTTCTAACCTCTCTGATCTAACCATGTAGATAAACTAGTTGTAAGGCTATTGGACTCAAGCTTATCGATGCGGAATCAGCTTGCGGCGTATTATTTTTTATTATTAGATTTTCGTTCGGATTTCATGGACATGAAGCTTTTACCAACCAACTAT